GATTCCTTGTTTCAAAGGATCAATTTAAGATTGTCAGATTTCGTCTGAATAATCAATTATTATAGAACATCTACCCATCTGCTGAAGTTCACTGATTCTCCTCCGAGTGCAACTACTGTCAAATCTCTTTAAGCCATTATTTTATGCAAGAGGAGGTTAAACTTCTTTTATCATGGGTAGTTTGGGGAAAAATTGATCACGCATCGGAACTTCTTCTACATAAAGAGGGGCACTGGAGCTTGATAAGATCATAGCCAACTGGATGAGGTTGCCGACCCAACCAGTACGTGATAATGAAGCGACACGGGCCACAATCGTGCTAGTAATCATGGAAGTCGTGGGTAGCGCGGAAGCACGAACAGGCTGGTTGGTGGTGGCGAGCTCGTTGGATGCACAATGGTGAGCGTTCGTCCAGTTTGACCGCTAAATCACTTCCTGACCCAATTTTTAGATTGTACAATTCAATTTAGACATTTTTGGATCCCTAGAACTATTTTTTAACTTTTCGGACTCAATTTTGACATATTCGGAGCTAAATAGAGCTTTTACAGTCAATTTCAAGCAATTTAAAAAGATTTATAGCTTAATTTTTTTAATATGTTTTATTTTGATTAATGCGCCAACTTCATGATATGCTAAATTTATGATTAAGAGTATTTGACGTCCAAAAAGAGGTCGCACCTTGAAATTATTCGAACATTATAATTTTGCACGAGACAATTTAAAAAAGCTCCAACATATATTTTTAGACTCTACAGACTTCGACATATGAAAATAAAGGGGCAACTGATATATTCCCAAAAAATTATCTTCTAAAATTAAAATTTGGGATCATTTGTACTTTGATTTCAGCAAACTTATAGTCAAGAAAAACATCCCGAAGAGATGAACCTAATGATACACAAATCAGTCCAATATGAACCCAAATGGGCCCAAATCGAGGGACTGAAGCACATTTAAAATATTCAAAATATAAATTGGATGACCAAATGATATCCCAATGTGATGTATTTATAGTCGAATTGAACCGCTCGACGAGACAAATCCAACTAGACTAAGATCATCAAATTCTGACATTATAAAAACACTCAAATGTTTAATAAACGATCCATGATCAAGGGAGTTGATATCGGTCATCCATTGAAACACTCCTAACTTACCCTTAATTTTATCTTTACTTACTATCCATGTCACTCCCAAAAAAGTATAAATAGATCTCTCATTCCTCATTGAAGGAGTTGAAGCAAGAGAAAGTAGAGAAGAAAGTAAGAAAAATCTGGGAGCTCTATTAATACCAGACTCCTCATTAACCTTCCACCCGACCACTAATCGTCGTAGAACTTCTTCCTAGCCACCGACTGTCGCTAGACTTCCACCCGACCACCAACTATCACACGACTTCCGCTCGACCACCGACCATCGTCATACTTTTGCCCGGCCATTGATCATCGTCGTAGTTCTGCACAACCACAAACCGTTGCTGGACTTCTACCCAGCCATCGACCGTCATCGAACTTCTACCCGACCATTATCATTATAAACTCACGAATATTCACACAAAGTTCAACCCACTTCCTGGACTAATGTAATTTGACCGCCGTCAAATTTAGAGATGGGTCAATCTTTGTAACATGTTCAAATAATAGTGGAATCATTTCGACTGATGTTGGCCTGTATTTTTTATCTTTTTCAGGGGTTTTCACATAAAAATCTTGGTTTTTTTAAGTTCTCTGTTTATGTGTTGGATATCCGTGCAATGTTAGGACAACAAATTCTCTTACTTTACCGACGTAAATATTTTTCGCGCGCAACAAATATATTTGTAGGAGTGTATTTGGAACCATCATTTATTTCATGTTGAGTGAATTTCAAGTATACAAGCTGGATAAAAGGAATATCAGTTGGTAGCCACATTCGCCAGAAGTCGCACCCACCACTGCCGTTTTGATTGCCATTCCATTTAGTTGCAACTATCGGTTGCCTTTGCCATCACCACTCGTTGCCCTCATCATTTGCCACCTCCAATCAATTATTGTTTCAAATATATTGCTATTTTTACTATAAACCAAATAAAAATAAAATAAAATTTTGCATTTGTAGTATCTTCAACCAAATAATCTAAAAGTATTTTCATTATACTATTTTTTTGTAGGAGCGTATTTGGAACCATCATTTATTTCATTTTGAGTGTATTTGATATTCATCAATTTTTAGTGAATTTCAAGTATACAAGTTGGATAAAGGGAATGATACCTTCTGCAGGATCGTCTTCACCTGGAAGAACAAATACCAATGACAGCAAGCTAAAAGAACAGGGAATAAGATAGAAGAATACCTCTGTATTCTGGTTTCTAGTATTGCTTTGTGTAAAAAAGATGATAACTGCTTTTCCCTTTTCCATGTACCCTATCTATAATTTCTGTATACTATTTTTGTAAAAAAGGAAAAAGACTGTAAAAGTAGTTACTAATCAGAAATAGAAAATAAGGTAGTGGAGGTTGTGTATTCTGTTGAAGCTGAGTAAGTTGTGCCGCCAGAGAACCGTGTTATCCTGGGCTGCATCAGGGAATATCAATCGGTCGCCACATTCGCCAGAAGTCCCACCCACCACTGTCGTTTTGATTGCCATTGCCTTTAGTTGCAACTATCGGTTGCCTTTGCCATCACCACTCATTGCCCTCATCATTTGCCACCTCCAATCAATTATTGTTTCAAATATATTGCTATTTTTATTTTAACTGTTTATTTTTATTTTAAAAACAATTTATATTTTTAAAAACATCCAAAATAATTTTAAATATATTGAATATTTTTATAAATAACTATGAGTTGTTCAATCATACGGCCGGGCCATTTAAGAGGTGTTGTTTGAAAATAGTTTTAAAGGTTTACAATGTCTATTATAATGACAAAAATAAAAAAAAATGAAGCTCAATAAAAGATATTGCATGGTTGAAAATAATAAGATTATCTCATGCTTGAACAGTAAAAATTAAAAAAAAAAATTGTGATGCATTTATTTTAAATTTCTCTTTATCAGGTCATCGTAAGGCCAACATTTTGTGTCCAAACTATCAAAGACAACTCTCTAATCTTATCTATCACTAGAGCTGCTCCAACTTTTTCACATGTATAGTACTTATTTCACATTCTTAGAATGTAATTTTTTATTTTTTATTTCAAGTGTGAAAAATATTTTGACAGGGGAAAAAATAAATGACCATTTTGCATTCAATCTTTACATGAAAACACTCTTCTTCCCGTTTAATATATTTTAAAAATATATGAATTAATGGAATATTTATTCTTTCTTCCTGTCAAATTTTCAAAATTATTTGTGTGAGTACCTTTCACTGAACAGGCCATTTCATTGACAAGGCATAAAAGAGCATTCTCAAACTGAAAGCAATCAAAACAAGCATATTTTCATAGGTAAAATATGTTCAAAGCCCGAACATAAGAGGATAAAACATGAGCAGCATAATTGCTGAGGCCAGCAGTCAACAACCCAAATAGCAAATACATTCAGTCGTCACTTTATAGTATAATAAACAGAAAAAAAAAAAAAGTAATAAGATGAGTTGTGCACTTAGCATTCTTCATAAAAATAATAGTAGAAGATGTTACAGAGACAGATATGTTCAAATGATTAGGGAAGAACTGTTAGAAGTGGAATAATATTGCTGAATGACTCTGCAAATAATTCATGTGGATTTGCATTTAGGAAACATAGTGCCCAGCTTTTTGGACCATAGTCAATTCAGATAGCTATTGTTAAGTCATTCAAATTCTTACGAGAAGTAATCTTTACCAAACAGCTGAAGCATCAGAAATAGATGAACATATATATAAATATATAGCAAGCCTAGCCTGACATATTTTACTTTTTTAATTAATAATCCTTTGAGTTTTTAACAGTGTGCTTGCTGAAACTTCAAGAAGATGGGCAGAAAATACTTCAACACTCGACTAAGGGGTGTTTGGTTGTCTGAAAAAGGAATGCAGTGTAAAAGGAATATTTTAGAGTTGTTTGGATGCAATGCATGACTTACTTTTTTTTTTGTTTGATTTGAAATAAATGCAATGTAAAGTATAAAATGGTTGTGCTCGGGGTGGCCGCCAGTGGTGGCGGCGGCCGGCGGTGGTTGTGGTTTGCTACGACGGCCGGTGGCCAGTAGAGGTTGCCGGCAGCGGTTGTCAAGCAAGGAGCAAGCGGTGTAAATCGTTCTCGCCCAAATTAGGGGAGAACAATTTACATCAAAATTGAACTAGAATGAAGTATATTGTATTTATTATACTTTACTTTGTATTTACTTTTCATCCAACCAAACACCAAAAAGTAAAAAAAAAAAAAACAAATCATTTACTATGCTTTGCAAAGAGGTTGAATCCGACCCGATTGCATAGACGGGTTAGAAATCTGAACCTGGACTTGACCTCACCCCAAACCTGGTTTGACCCAACTCAACACAAGCGCGGGTCGAGCCCTTATTGTTGGAACGCAGAGCAAGTCGCGTCGTGGGAGAGAGGTGAGACGAATGGGGCAGGGGTGGAGGTGCGGGCAGCGGGCGGGCGAGGTGAGACGCGCCAGATGAGGGTTGCGGTGGGGGTGCAAGCTGGGCACGTGGTGCAAGGGCTAGTTAGGCACGCAATGCAGGATAGTGAGCGGGAAGTGCGTGCGTGAACAGTCGACGGGTCATTTCCAAGTTAGAAGGTTGACCCCAACCCAACCCGCTTTTTCAAACATATCAAAAATTAGAACCCGAACCTGACCTGTTTGTTAAACGAGTCAACCCGAAATCAATTTTTTCATATTAGGTTCATGTCGGATTTTCAGGTTATGTTATAAATTGGCACCCCTAGCTTTGCATTCAATTTTACTCAAACCAAACAACACCTAAATACAAAATTAATAACCTAGAAAAACAAAAAGCAAGCCTTTTTTTATAACTTAGCTATACTTCAAAAAAATCAAATCAATTTGTTGGTGAAAAACTTCGAAATTGATGGGTGCATTTCAATTAGACAAAGGAATGTTCAAGAAAGTAAATCTAGATATGAAGGACATCTCAAACCATTACCAGATGATCTAAGTACTCTTGCTGATTATCCACAAAAGCCATAACCAAATGGCCACAATTTCAAGTCCCCAAAACAAATCTAGAAGCAAAAAAAAGGAAGAGTCCAACATGATTATTTTAATCAAAATCCACTTCCTGACATTCATAATATGATTATCAAGATTTCCCTGTTCCTTCACTAACAGAAAGTGTAGTGTTTGATCAGCTTCTAATTTGCAAAAACTGTTAATGACAGTCCATTGAAGCATAGTCCTAAAGAAAAGAGAAGATATCTTATTTTATTTGGGGAAAAGTTTTAATAGATATATCAACACTCCAGAGTAGAAAATTCATCTTAAGATTCTAGAGTCAATAGAAAAGGTTAAGCTCTGGATGAATGGAAAAATATTCTTCGCATCTTGTACTGCAAAAAAAAAAAAAACTTGAACATAGAAAAATATATATAATTCATTTAGTCAAAAAAAATTAAAATTGCTTTTGCATAATAAGCAGAAGAAATGCTATCAAAAGCAATTTTCCTTATAGTTCATTGTTGATGCTTCAGCATCTAAGGTTCGTTTTTACTACCGCAGCATGAATGGACTAATAAACAAATATAGATTGATTATAACTTACTATTATTAATCCGGGCAAAAAACAATACCATTGCCTCTCAGAAACACGCCAATGCTTGGACAAAACAACAAGCCTTTATTTCACTGTGGTATAGGCTGCATAAATATTTTTTCCCATTGTCTCCTATTAAAAGTAAAAAAAAATAGAGAGGTTTATGATATCTAACCAATCGAACATGCCCATAAAACTTACTGAAGAAGTACGGAATACATGTGTGTCAACAACTAAAAAAAGGTGACAACCAGATAATAAACAACACTTCTTTACTTTGATAGTAAACATTATATTTGAAACAATATAACAAGACTAAGCATGGAATGAAGAATCTTGTACCTTTGTGCAATTTATAATACCATAAAATCGACAAAATAAATAAACTATTGTTGTAAGTTATATGCAAATAAAATATATATGAAGTAGTAGCCAAATGAGTAATAAGATAGGATTTGATGATTAAAACAACACACAACAATATAAAAAACAGCACAACTTACACCATATAGATCCAGAAATAATACTAAGAGAGTTGTTTTGACTAATTTCCTAGCAAAGTAAGACAAGATACAAATTTATTCACTGTTCGAGAGATGAATTTTCTCTTCCACAATTCCTAGTACCTACTAGGAACCCAAATACCTCACAAGAACTGCAGCAAAAACTCAAAATATAACATAAACCCTAACCCTTCATAATCTCCCCCCTTAAACAGCCCAAATCCCCAAATAAATGCCCCTTATATCATTCCCAAAGAGTTTCCCTCCAAAGCCTCATCTCCTATAAGTGATAAAGGAGGCCTAGGCAACTGGGCTGCTGCTAGCCGCATCAATACTCCCCTTGATGCAGGACTACTTTAGATGCTATGGTTATAGTTTCATTTGAGCATTGCACAACTATTGAATTAGAATAATTTCAGAACAAAATTATAAGCAATCTTCAAACGACGATTAAGACAAATGAAGCGATCAATTGCGTAGGCGAAATCACATGCTCCGAATTTGAACTATCAAGATAATTGCTCCTAAAAAATCACCTTGTCCTAATGGTGGAAAAAGGTAAACTGCTTATGGATAGTACTGTAGGGCTCCTATGTCATCTCATACTCTAGTAGATCCTTCCACTTGATCAACACCTTGTTTATCCCATTGTCTCATTCTGCGCACCCTTTTCACCTCCAGTGGTTTTAATATTACCTCCATATCCTCTGAGAGTGTGGCCAACAATGCGGACGAGGGTGTGTGGTTTCCAATAGCTCGTCTCAATTGCGATACATGAAATACATGATGGATGATCCTTGGGTACTTTTCTCTAATCACCAACCATAAAGGTAAGAGAAAAAAATAATATTCTTATTTTTGGAAATAAATTATAGTAATTTATTATTTTTTAGTTATGTTATATAACGGGGCTACATGTGTGTTTTAAGGATGACTTATAACATGGAAGTCAAAAACAAAATAAGAAGACAATTATAATGGCCCAACAACCCTCTTACAATGTCATCTTGCACAATAATTCTATGAAAATTGGAAAAAAGAAAAGGGAAACAAAAATTCATTGCTAAATTATTCATTCAGCCTACTTGTCACTAGATATGACAACAGTAAATAAATTCCATTATAAGGTATGATGGACTCCAGGAAGATTCAGTTGAAACATTCCCCTCAAGCATGGCAACTGCAATGTGAGGCTATCACAAGGAATGCATTTACAAATAGTTCCAGGCGACGAAACTTGATCGATTCAAAGGTCATACAAGTGGTGTAGCTTTTAGGTAGGGGAATATTGAGATTGATAAAAGGGAACCAAAAGAAGTAACATTATGAAACATGTTTTCAAATGGTTCATGTAATAGAAATGGATAATACATTTCACTCGTTTGCATAGTTAATGCAGTAGAAAATGCGAATGAAATCAAACTCACACCTCAAGTTTCCAAACTAGAGGAAGTTTCAGCAATCCCTCTGTTCAGTGCTCTTTCAACCCGCGCTTCAAAGGGAGTGGCATGACAATTTATCATCCTATCCTGCACTATAAAAGAAAATCAGTATGTTTCAAGCTTCAGCCAACATAAGTTCATGCATTATGTTTCAATATCATACCTCTCTATACTTGCTTGTCGTGTTTGGAATCCCTCTTATCTCAGAGAAGGAACTCCACGAATAAGCCAATTCCTCTTTAGGAAGGAGATGGACGTCCTCTGTCTTGTACTCCCCAGACATCATGATACCATTATCGTTCTCCGCCTCTTCAATCCTAAACCTCACTTCTCTGCTCCCAGCTAGCTTCTTTTTATTACCACTAGCATTGTTCTTAACTAATGGTTTCTTCTTTTCTTGCCCTTTCAAATAAACTGAATTTAAATCCAATGAAGCCATCATTTTCTTCTTCTGCAGATCCTTTGGGCCCCTTGCAGAGCTAACCACGACCACATCCAAAGCCCTACGCAAACTCCCCTCTACCTTTTCTCCGATGGCCGATGACTCCAATACCTCACATTTCCTTGAAATCCTGCTCGAACGACCACCCCTCTTGCCTTTTGCCATCTGCTTCCCTCCTTTATTAGCTGGCTCCTCCACCTTGTCCTCCTTAATCTCCGCATCTTCTCCCTCGTGCACGTTTGAAACCAACGCAGTGCTGCTTATAGCTATAGTTGACAACCTTGTCAGTCTTCCCTTCCTACCCTCCACCACGGCTGGCTCCAAAACATCATCTTTCGAAGAGACTCTAGAAGATCCACAACCTCTCTTTCGACGCGCCCTCCCACCCCTTCCGTCCTCAACTAACCCTTCTATCTTCTCAGAAGTTTCCACCTCTTCTTCCTTCAAAATTAAGACCCTAGCAGAGCTAGCCACTGATAAAACCTTCACATCCCTCCCCTTCTTCTCTTCCATAGCCACAGGCCTCAAGGATGCATCTTTCCTCAAAACCCTAGCAGGTTCAACCCCACTTTTGAGGCGGCTCATTCCTTTCCTGCCATTCTTAGTTGGCCCTTCAACCTCCTCATTCTTGATCTCCCTCTCCTCATTCTTCTCCTTCAAAGCTCTAGCAGAGAGCTCAATTTTCCTGGTAGAACTGGTAATATGCTCTTCCACCACCGGATCCAAAGCCTTGTCACTTTTCGAAGCCCCAACGGATATGATACCCTTCTTTCGCTGGGCACGTCCCACTTGATAATTCTTGGTAGGTTTCTCCTCATTTTCCTTAGCATCAATCTCTTCCAGCAACTGGGGAACCCTAGCAGAGCAAAACTTTGCGGAAGCCTTTCTTGGCATCCTTCTCTTGCCCTCCTCGGGCATACGTTTCACAGCGTAGTCAACATTAGCAGATTCAGGACAAGCCTTACCTTGAGACGCGCCCTTTTCCCCATGTTTCGCTGGCTCGACCACCTTCTCCTCCTTGGCTTCCTTTTCAATCTGAGAACTTACATCCGCCGCAGCCCGCCGCCCACGTCTCGTTCGGGGTTCTGGCACTGAAGATGGGGCGTAGATCTTAACTGACATCAAAGTGCTTTCACCGATCTCGATGATATCGCCGTTGGCGAGGGTAAAGGCGGCGTTGGGCGATATTACCGCACCGTTGACAGTGGTGCCATTAGACGTGCCGAGGTCGGTGACGGCCCACCGAGAAATCTCTGGGTGGAACTCAACAATGAGATGCTTCTGAGAGATTCGGGCATCCTTAATGGCAAGTGTATTTCCGCGGACAACGCGGCCGATGCGAATGAAACTCCCAGGCCTGCGATCGAAGGTTTCCCCCTTCTTAGGCCCTTCATCGATGGATAGTATAAGGTTAGAGGCCTCCATGGAGGAGAAGACAGGAGATAGTAGAGAAAATCTAAGAAACCTAGAAATTCCGGGGAGATGGAAGGAAGGAAGAAGGAGACAGTGGGAAAGAAGAGTGAGTGCCACTTGACTGTTCCGGTGGGATTCGAAGAGTGAGGTCTCCTTGCTTGATCGGGGCTCCGGACTCCGGAGGGATTTGAAACGAGGGGGAAGGATTTGAAATATGGTGTTTGCAATTAAAACCTATAAAATCTCTGATATTTCGTTATTGAATTTGAAGGAAGATAAATTCGGGTTAGATATTACTCATACAAAATCCAAAGGCAGCTTGATTGGATGAAAAATAAAGGTTTAGTAAATTAAAATATAATATACAAAATATATAATTGTTGCATTCTGAAAAATTTATGACGGTAGAGAGAGAATTTAAAGTTTTAGTTTTGTAGGAAGATCTAGCACATACACACAAATAAGAGAGAGAGAGAGTAATGCAAGAGTTATAAGAGACGCCATGATTTTTATGTGGAAAATTCTAAAGAGTGAAGAATTCACGGGGTCTGACCTAGTTAAAATGATTTCACTAAATTTTTATAATTACAAATAGTGTCCTTCCTCAGGGGGAAGGCCTTCACTCAATATATAATATATAACATATCATATAGTTGGGATTGGAAGAATCTAATGATAATGAAGTCATAAGTCATTCTTAAGAGCATACTGGCTTGTTCATTTAATTGGCATGACAGTATTTGGGCGATGGAGATCAAAAACCGTAGTTGACGGGTGACGGAGGTCCAAGGGATCGAATTCGGCAGGCGATGGAGATCAGAGGGAGCCTAGTCATCGGGCGACGATGGTCGGAGGGATTATAGGCTACAGATGATGATGGTCAGAGGGACCATTGTTGGAGAGCAATGGTGGTTGGAGGAACCGTAGTCGGCAGGCGACGGTGGTTGGAGTGGTGTATCTAGGGCAGCCTGGTCGGTCCAGCTACGGTAGGCGAAGAGGAGGAGGTCTGAAAGTTGTTTGCAAGCGGGAGGTCCTGTTATTGAAGCTAGCATTTAACTTTTCCTAATGTCAATTTTTTGAGTTCTTACACCAAGCTCTATCACTTGTATGTCGAACCATGAAGCCACTACATAGTCATCTTTTGCTTAGTACCTTTCTGAACCCAGTCTAATGATTTTTTTCCTCTCAACTTTTACTTTCCTTGACCTTTGTCAACAACTGATAGATAATAGATGTCACCATAGCCATTTGCTTCCTAATATTTATCCATAAATCTCCTCCTAGCAAAATACTCAACATACTGGAGTTGTCGACTTTGACATCTTTTTAACTGACATCTTCCAAAGACTCAATCTCGTGAAATTTGATACTCAACATTTTTCATCTTGGTGCTCGCTAATAGTTATATATCATAGAGTTGTTAGTATTGTGCCTTTCTAATAAACTTGCCATCTTGAAAAATCACCTTTCTTAGCACTTGACGAAAACTAGGAATTGCAGAGTTATCAATTTAATCTTAGCTTTTCTGCAAGTCATATTTTCAAGACTTAATTGATAGCTTGACATTATAAAGCTATGGGATTGTAGCTAACTCCTTCATGTCTTATTCTCATTAACTCATCTCCTTAATAACTATCTTTCCCATAACTTCTTGATTGATCCAAATCCTAGAACCATCGGCTCAACAACAAATTCATTCTTGTGTTCTTCTAGGTAGCATCAACTTACTTACTTGGCATGCTTCCTTCTCAATTCTTATTGACAAGTTTCCATCCTTCAACTATCGCCTCAACATCAAATCCATTCATGCCTTCTTGTGACTACTTGGCACCTTTCTTCTAGCTTCATGTTTTTTGCTTGACATCCTAAAGGCGTCAACATTAAAAACTTTATATTGGAATTCCTACTAAACTCCACAATATTGGTTGGCTATTAATGGAATTTATGTCATCACATGCCCATACAAGGATACCATATTAGTGCTCCAAGCATATGTTGTCACATGTTATCATTTTTAATTTAGAATATATTTAGCATGGATTCTTCCAAACTCATCCTTAGTTCGTATCCTAAAAAAAAGATAAATCTTTTCCATTTAAGTCAGCACGCTCTCGATTATCTTTTGCCCCACCTTATCTGCTTTCATCCTCTTTAAAAGGGACAATTAGACATCTTATGAAGTGTTTGCATTTTAAAGATGGAAGTTTTTTATGGAAGCTAGCATATAAAATTTTCCAAATGTCAATTTTTTGAGTTCTTACACCAAGCTCTATCACTTCTAACACTCACCTACTATATGTGGAACCATGAAGCCAGTATCAATTGAGCTCTCAGCATCCTCTTATAAAGTCATATGCCTTTCCATCTTTTATTCACTTCGAGGTGTCAACTATAGGAATAGATGTTACATGAATACAAATAATGTTTTATTTGTTATTTTTGTATTAAAAATATATTTTTTAAACTAAAGTATAAATGATAAATATATAAACATCACTTGTTAAATCCAACTTATTTGTCTAGAATAATAGGATTATGGAAATATACTAAATACTATAAGTTAGATTATATTTATTTGTATATTAAATCTAACAAATTGCAATTCACTAAATAAAACATTTTAAATATTTTACCCAAAATAATGAATCATTATTACAAATTATTATAAACACATTGAATTTTTTTTTTTATCATAATAAAGTTGAAGCTCTACTTAACAATTAGGAAATGAATTCTTTAATTCTATTTTTAATAATTTGAGAATCTTAATAAAATAGAATTAATTAAAATAGCTCACCTTAAAAGGTGCATAATATGAACATTACTAAAGCTCTTCACATTATGGACAATAAAAACATGAGTAGTGACAAATTCTTTTTTTGTCTTAAATTCAAAATCTCTCAAATGATTAATGCTAATTTACATTTATCTAAGCATTTCAATGTTGTTGTGTCTTGGGCTAATGTTTTTCATATATCTTTTGATAAAGTTAATATTATAAACCTTTTTTTTAGTCTGGTTTATTCACTTAAACCATCCTTTAATTAGTATAAATTAAATATTGATGGTTCTCTTTCTAAAGATGGGGTCGTTTGTGGGAGTATTGTTAGGAATTTTAGTGGTGATATGGTTTTTGTCTTTGCCTCCCAAGTTTCTATTGGTAATGTGCGTACCGCTGAAGCCTCTGCTCTCGTACGCTGGCTTAAATTTTGTTCTCAATTCAATATCCAGAATATTTGGATTGAGTCTGAGTCTTTAATCCTGGTAAATCTTATTAAGAATAATTGTTGCAATAATACTTCTTTGTTTTACATTTTTAGAAATATTATTAATCATTTGAGAAGGTTGAGTTCAGTATCTCTCATATTCCTAAAAGTGATAATTCATGTTCTGATTGGTTAGCTAGGAAAAGTGTTTATCTTCAAGACACATAATTCTATTATGATTTGTCCAATTTAAAATTTTTGAAAGGTTTGGTGAGAATGGACAAGCTTGACTTTCCTTCTTTGAGGCATAAATGAGTCTCGATTATCTTCCATTCTCGATTTTCTCTTCACATGTGTCTCTTTTTTTGTTGTAGTTCTGCTTCTGTTGCTCACCTGCTCTTTCTTGTTGGCTGGTTCCATGTCTTTTTGTGTTTCTGTTGGTTTGGTTGTTCTGGTTGGTTCTCTAATAGCTCTGATCTTTCTTTTGATGCTTCATGGTGAGTCTGCTTGGTTTTTATATATCTAGCTTTTCCCTTTGCTTTTTTTTTTTTTTCTTTTTATATCCTATGCAGTTGTGCTCTTTGTTTTTCTTGGCTCGTTCGGTTGTGCTGCTGGTTTGTTTCTTTTGCAATTTTTCCTGCAGGTGGCTTGGGTCTTCATTGTTTTCTGTTTTAATGGATACTCTTCCGTTGTGCTGAATGCTTATCTTTGCTTGGGGTTGTTTTTGGGTTTGTCTTCTTGCCGACCTTGCTTTAGTTTTTTTTTTTTTTTGACTTCTAATTTGTAAGTAGTTAGGGATCTTTGGCTCTTAGGATTTTTTGATTTTCTTATTGTATCTCTTTGAGCATTAATGAGTTATCGTTTTGTTTAAGGACATGTAATCCTTTTGATTAATCAACATGGAGGCCCTATATGGGTTTTCCCAAAAAAAGATTAATAAAAAAAAAAAGAAGAATTTTTGTTGAAGATTAAAAATTATTGATCAAGTTTAAAAAATTGCTAACATTTAGATAATAAGTTCTCCCTTATGCATTGAAAGAGGTTATTATAATAGTTTCCATCAAATGCTATTTATTCTCGTTAAATTAGTATTAAAAAAAAGCATTCTAATTTAAGAGCATTAACTTATTGATGTCCTTGAATAAATGGATAATTTTATATCATTTTTCACAATCATCTTTCTACCAAAAACAAAAAATTTAGGCTTCATTTGAGACAATTTTTTATTGCTTCTTAAATCAACTTTTTAGTATAAAAATTAAAATTTTTGTACTAGAAAACAGCTTTAAGAAGCAGTAAAAAAGTCCATCTCAAGCAAAGTCTTAGACTTCGTTTGGGACGGTTTTCTTATTGCTTCTTAAAATAACTTTTTAGCAAAAAAAATTAAAAATTTTTAACTAAAAAATTGCTTTAAATAATAAAAAAGCTGTCTCAAACTAGGAATTAAATGTATGAAGAAAACACAAATCAATACATTATACTTTTCCATATATTTTTTTGCTAAGGGCTACTGAAATAAAAATATATGACAATACATTTAGTATAGAAAATAAAGCAACTTAAATGAGTAGAATTGTGATAACAAATTAACCCTGCCTCCCTTGGATTTCATAACTGGATTAAAATATGAAGGAATGGTTGAAGAGATTGAAATTTTGAATTGTAACACATAAGTATACTCGCCTACAATGTGACGACCAATAGTTATATAGGAAAGATAAAAGAAATATAGCACATCTCACCTTGGCCTATTGGTTGAGAGCTTATGCTTCCAACTAAGAGGTCTTGGATTCGAGTCTTTGTGTATGCGTTTAAATATAGCAACAATGCAATTGTGTTAATCTAATTGGTTGTTAATATGTTATAAAATATTCCTATGAGCTCTAACACATATAAATAAACTAATGGATTCAAGATTAATATTTATTGGTCTTCATAATTTTTTCTCTTTTAAATAATATAATGAAAAACCATTCCACCTTTAGTCTATTAAGAATTTATATCCTATAATCAAATAAAATATAAACTAATGAGTTCATGATTACTATTTATTGTTATTTCACTATTTTTCTCTTTTTAATATTATGTCGAAGTACCACTCCACCATAGTCTCTTAAGAATTCATATCCTATAACCAAAAAATAAAAATAAAAATCTTAATTTGGATTACTTTTGAATTCAATAATATTTGTTTAACTTCCATCGGTAGTACTGTATAATAATATCCATTATTTATGCATTAAGATAAGAAAATTTTGTAGATAATAATAATTTATTTAAATTTGAAATATTAGGCTGCCATCATATATGTTTTAAGAAGAATAATTTTTGTCGTTTAAAATATATAAAGCTCAAAAATAAAAATAAAAAACTTAAAAAAATCTTTGGTCAATATTTGAGCTAACAAGTACCACAAATTTGGTGAATATTTGAGCTAACAAGTACCACAAATTTAGAGAGATACAAGACAATTGGTCGCATCTATGTCCATATTCACCATTAGCAGAGTATTACATTAACCGCCATTCTTTGCCAAAAATGAATATATATAAGAAAAAAAGTTTATACAAACAAATTAATAGATTTTATTGAAGAAATTATTTACAATTTCTAAAATGACAAAAAAAATAAAAATTTACAATTTTTACATGTTTGATCCACTTTTGATAGTAGCTTTGTTTGGCAATAGGATTTGCTTGCCAATATCTGGAACAAATATATCAACACTCATTGAGCTAAAACTAGACAAATTGAAAAGGCTGCTTAACATGAGATGGACTTGGCATTGTTGGTGTAGGAGGGGCAGAATGATTATTAAGATCAATTATAATAGGAAATGTGATGTCCCCTTCATTGTAAGAACCACAAGTATCATCTGATCCATCATTTATGGCAGTACCTGATAAAAATATGAAACTTAAATTATCATTTCCCTTGAGTGAAGGCAACAAATATTCTTCTATGGCAAGTAACTTAAAAATAGAAGTCTTTCATTTTAGAAAGTTTTGTAAGATTTACCAGAATAAAATAACGACTGATCAGATTCTTCAGTAACAGCATACTCTTCATCCGAGTCGTCAATATCCTTAAAAACACATCATCAAAGTTTAAAAATGATCCAAAAAAAAAATGATCATTTATTAAAAAAATAAGAATTTCAAACCTCGGGAGCTGACATATGGAAATATGATTTTTTTTGTGAAGGAAGTGTGTTGTGGCATGAAATAGCTATTGTACATGGGGCATTCTCCACAACATCTTCCTCTAGGTCAACATCCTTGAAAAAAATAATCAAAATTTAAACAAAATTATACCAAAGTTATAAAAATGAAAATTTTACAAAATAATAAATAATTTCCAACCTCAGGGGCTGACATATGGAAATATGACTTTCTTTGTGGAGAGAATGTCATATGACTATAAGTGGAATCATCATTCATTTCATTATTTGCAATTTGATCCCCTGAAATAGCCACAGTTGTATCTTCCTCTATAATTGATTTCTTTTGAATTTTACATAATGGGCCTAACAATACATTGTCATCATCTAAAAAAGAAATGTCTCGTTTCAAGACCTGCCCAATCATAACAAAAGTAAATAAATTAAAAATATTGCAGGAAATAAAAACTTGAAAGAATAATTTGAAAAAATAACTTAAAACATATGCTCCATGAACTGGTTAGAGTTAGTTCAATATGCCTAAAGCATGGTTGCAAGACCATATTGCAAATATTTAAAGAATCTTTGAACTTAAAAGAGAGCTCATCACATCAAAAATATAGAATTCCATACATATTATATACATATATAGAAGACTAATGCAATTTTGTGCTTTAAAATTAAATGACCATAATAAAATGGTTTTAGAATAAGATTTAATTTAAGAGAATCACTTGTATACAAAAATAAATATATCTATACCTTCAATCATGCACTCAAAGTCATCTATAATATCATAAAACTAGAGAACATGTGCCCTAGCAGAGCTGGAAAATTAACATCTTTCAAAAATTTAATCTAAAATGGGTAACAACGTATGTAGATACCTACTTGAACACTAATATTTTAAAGAATGATAATGTATATATTACTAAACAACAATATCCTTAAAAGGTTAGAAAGGTATATAAATATAGAGACTTACTTATATAAATACATATTTAAGTTTAATATATGAATAAGTGCTTTTTCACTGATGTAGTGTTGCTTCAATTGGTAAAGGTGAAAGAGGGTTGTTGTATTATCTTGAATGAGGCATTAGTAATGTGTTGATCATAATGAAAGGTTAAAAACTTCAGCATAAACGAGGGTAAAAATACATGAACAAACGATGCAATTACCTAATGATGCTGATAAATTTCTGTATAACTTGGAGCACCTAATTACATTTTCTTAAAATAATTACCTTCACTTGCTTATTATTTTCTGATTCAGATTTCAGCAGTTCAGAAGATCTTGAATTTATCGATGCCATGAAATGTTTAGCCTCAGCCCTGTTGGAGAATAAAATTTTAATAGATCATTTTCAGTATATAAATAAAACATAAAATTTATAAATATAACTAAAAATTAAAATTTATAAAAAAAAAAATCAATTGCAGATTATATTATTCAAAAATGTATCATTACCGAATTGTTAGCTAGGATCTTTTGCCTATCATGCAACAATAAAAAGAAATAGAAAGAAAAATATATCACTATTATCAAGCTTTTCATGAAAATATTCATAAATAAAATTTTAGGGAATTATGAAAACTCGAATTATATAAAATTTTAAGAGGATTTAGAAAGAAAGTAAGATAAGTCAATAGATAGACAAACAAATTTCTCTTTTAAACTAACTTACATAACCAATCTTTTAATATTATGTTGCATGGTACATGAAATAGAAAAAAAGCAAAAACAAAACTTTCCTTGTAAACCATCTCTGACTGATGAACTGCTCAATATCAGAAATTCCAACTGATTTTGAAGTGATCAAACTGTGACAATCAGCCAGTTTAATTTGCTCCTGAAATTCAATTAGAGGTTGAATATAAAAATTTCTTAAAAAAGCAAAAGTCTTTAACTTATATGGTTTATATTAGTTAGTATCTAAATGATTAATAGAAATAAGTAACTGCTTTAATATCACTTACAGCCAAAATCACTGCAGGTGTATCAATCATAACAAGATGTTTTTCCTCTACACCTACAATAAAGAGATCAAGTTAAGAATAACGAAGATCAAGATAAGAATAACAAAACAAGATGTCAATTTCATCTAAAAGTAGGTATTGATGAAATTTTAATTTATATTTTTCTCGCATCAAACAATAATTAGCAACACAAATATCAACAAGAGCTCACTTTGGCAGCTTATGATAAAAAAAAAACGTTTTAGAAAATCACAAATTTAATTATCATAAAATTTAGTTTTTAAACAAGAATGAAGCCTTTGCAAGAAATTCATTAAAGCAGCGTGAACGAGCATAGACATGCCCCAAAAGCATGAAGCAGCTATTGAGATTTATCACTAATAGCTAAAAATATATAGACAAGCAACAGTATTATCCAGCAAAAAAAATCATGCATAAAGTGTACATTTTGCAAAGAAAGCATTGCACATATACTTCTATTTATAAGGCATGAGATTCGACTACCTAGCAGGAATAAAAATTGATGCAGTAAACAGTTAGCTCATTATTATTATAAGCACATTAGAAACATAATTTATCTAAGTATGATTTCCGCTTTGAATGAGCAATAAGAGAAGTGTCTATGATTTCCACTTTGATTTTTTTTTTTTTGACAAACATCCATGTACATAATAAAAGATATTGATACGCCCCTTCTAAAATTTAGCCGTTAAATCTTCACACTAAAAATCAAATCAAATATTTTCTTACAAAAAAGAGTGACAACCGGAATTTCCCTACCATAAATTTTATTATATATTTTAAATAGCTTAAATAGAATTGTAACAAAAAAGGGAGTAAAATTTTCTTTTAGTAGCTAATATCCACTAAATTAACAACAATAAGGTGACTAAACATTCAGATTTATTAGTAATTTACACATTATTTTTTACAAAACTTCTGCGATTGCATGGAACCACTGCTTGATCATCACAAATCACAGGTGCCGTGCCATCCATTTTCCCTAAACTTAAAAGCTCTCTCACGTTAGCACATGCAGGTACTTTAGTTTATCATGGCCTACATTCTATTTTTGCAAGCCGAGCTTTATAAAGTTGCTTTATGGCCAAAATTTTTGTTCTGTTCTTCAAAAAAGAATCTCTGAACTAAATTATGTGAAGAACAAAAAAAAATATTCTAGCTTATTTTTTTCATCCAAGCAATCTCTTTTTTATTTTTTTTGCAAGCTACTTTTCTTTAAAAACAGAATTAATTACAAAAAGAAAAAATTACGGATAATATAACTTACGGCAACATCATCCAACTCCTCACATCCTGCTCATCAACAAGCAAGCTCTACTATAAATACTGGTACTCATTACATCATATCAGGAAAAAATATAATTGAAAAGTAAGATTTTTAAAAGAGGATCAATCGGTTCAATATGGAAAATTACTAGCCTTGATCTTTCATTTATAATCCCTTATCTTAAATGCCCAGCTAGCTTGACCACCATTGTGACAACGTAGTGATCCTTCCAGAGAGGCGAGGCCATGTTGTGCTGGGGCAACTCTTGATGGCAACTTAAATCTCATATTGTATTGGCATGCATCGATCCTTTTACAATGGCTTTCTTTCATCTTTCTCTGTCATTTTACAATGAAATCTAATCATTCACAATTCAATCCCACTCGCGAAGAGATATGTGTCCATCATTGCTACAATGGCTCTCTTCCACATTATCCAGGTTGCCAAATGACACTCATTCAATCATCAAGCACATCGCCATACATAATGCTCAATAACACAATAGCTTATACAATCCTTTTATTTTTTATGTCTACGTTGTTATTATTCATTCTTTTTTGAGAAAGAAGCAGATTTATTTTTTTTTTTAGTTTCAATCATCTCGTTGCAGTTTTAATTTTTATGTGAAATAAATTATGTTCGGATATAATTACAATCAAAATTTTATCACGATGAATTAAAAAAATTTAGAATTTATTTTAAGATAAATACAATTTAAGTTAAAAGAGATTTTTCTTCTATTGATTACAGTGACTTCATTACATCATATCAGGAATCATTAAGCTACTAATTATCTTCTAATTAAAACTTTGTATCCATGACGACAAAGGAAGATAGCTCCTTGCTAAATTCTCCCCCAAGCTCAGCTGGCCTCAGTCAGATTACAATTCTAAGCATAGATGGAGGAAGTGTGAGAGGAATAATTCCAGGAACCATTCTTTCTTTTCTTGAATCCAAGCTTCAAGTAAGTTGCTAAACTCAATATAATTAGCTTTTTAATCATTTAAAAATATCTTTTAATGGTGGTTAAAGGGAGATTTATTAGTTTTTTTCATATATAGAAGATTCATTAACAATTTTAATAGTTCCTTTCATTTTTTTACTAATAATTGAATTGAGTGCAGGAGCTTGATGGAGAGAATGTAAAGATTTTGGACTACTTTGATGTGATTGTAGGAACAAACAGTGGTGGCCTTGTCACCACAATGCTAACTACTCCAAACAACTCTAATTGTCCCCTCTATTCGGCCAAAGATATCAACAATTTTTATCAACAGAACTCATCGAATTCCTAAGAAAAATGTAAGCTTCTAAATTAATTCATCATGAACTAAATTTATCAAGTTTAAAATATTGAAGCATTGATTTCATCAATGATTAATTAACTAATTGTTTATATATAAATGAACTGTTGCAGGGCAGGATTATTTGGCACGACAAGTAATTGTGTTAGTGAATTTGCTAGGCCTAAATACGATGGGAGTATCTCTATTCTCTAATTAAAGGTATTCTTGGAGATACAAAGCTTCATCAAACTCTGACCAGTATTGTCATCCCAACTTTTTATATCAAGCTCCTTCAACCCGCTATCTTCTCCTCACTTCAGGTACTGCTAATTTAATTAAACCCTGATTAAACCCATCATTAATTATTAATCTCATTTTTAGTTATATTTTTATGCAAAGTTAGAAGCACTCCATTAAAAGATGATAATTTATCAGATATTTGCATCACTCTCTATTCTGACATTCACGTTGCAAATTGAAAATGATGTAATTAAATGTCATACAAAAATTAATTATGAAAATAGAATCATTTATCATTAATCAGCACCCAATATCATTAAACATGCAGCACCCAAAATACTGAAATGTATCTGATATTTTGAATAATTTATATCGAGAGCAAAGCTAGAAATGAAGCAACTACATTTGTGGGATTGTTATAACTACATTCGACCAAAGGAATGATTCTATACCATATTTCAATATTTTTCAAAAAATAAAAAAAGATCAAACTGCCAGGAACGAAATGTGCCCCAACAGAATCCCAAACCTTAATGTTAAACAGAGAAATGAAGGAGAAGATCGGACCTGACGGCGCAGAAAGCCGTTTAGGAAGAACGGAGGAGAGAAGCCTGCAGGCGGTCCTTGTGATGAATCGCGACACCGGCTCCATGAACGTGGGAAGCCAGCGGCCGTCATTCCCCTTTACAGCTGCGATACTACGGACGGCGCGTGCTGCCGATGGTGGCCGTTCGTACGGCGTTCTTGCTGAGTTCTTGAATAGCCGCCGCTTGATATACCCGCCGGAACCTCCTTCGTACGCCGGCGACGACATCGGACCAATGAAATGGAAATGGAGAACGATGTTGTGTTCTAGCTTTCGGATGGGAGGAGGAGAGAAACAAGAATTCTTGTTCTTGAGTTCGCTACCACGGAAGCGGCCACCGCTGGTGAACGAGGGTCGGGACTTGGGATACCCTTAACTCCACCTCCAGTCCTGCTTTTATAGTGTTGGAGTTAATTCATTAATATTTAGATAAAACTCCAGATATCTTTGACAAATTCAGGAGTCCGAAGTAGGAGTTAGGGGGGCCATGGATCAAACGGCACATGCCACACTGAGGAGGATATGATGACACCTATGCAATTTTTAAAACGGAATCCGTTGTAACAAATTTATTAATATTCTACTTTGTTTATAAGATATTTGTTCTCTCTTTTATTCTATTCAGGAGGTTAGGCCAAAGACGAGGCGTGAAATAGTATTTGTAATAAAAGCCATATACTGAAAGTCGAAGAGCTAATCGTACAATTATTACGTCCTCTGATCGGATGTAGAGTTACGTTCGGCCGTCAATAACATGTCGCCACGTGCTCTTATTCTTTATCGCGCGGCTCGACGACTTGACCCGGACCAGAACCCGGGAATGCTATGTTCGCGTATTGTGATTTATAACTCGGTATTTGCTCGGTATTACTCGGTATTGCTAGGTATTGCTTGACAATAACGAGAAATACCACTCTGTGAAGACCAATACCGAGAAAAACTCAGTACAACTCGGTATTGCACGATATTTGCTCACTATTTATTATTGTCGAGCAAAATCGATCAATACCTAGCAATTTCGAGCAATAGCTAGCAAAATCGAGAAATTCCGAGCCATCCTGGGTCCGTTCCGGGTCGGGTTGTCGAGCGCGCGGTAAATAGTGAGAACGCGTGGCGCGATTGTACTAGCAGCCGAACGTAGAGCTACATCTTGTGACCGGACCAAAAAAAAGTTCGAGCTAATCAGGGGCGGATCCTAACTTTTTTTTAGGATGAATAATTTTTTTTTTAATTTGATTATCACAATAATAATAATAATAATAATCTCATCAAATAGTAATAATAATAAAATAATTTTTTTAAAATTTTAACAAACATAATGCATCAAATTTATAAGAGGAAATTTTTGTCATTTATTCACGAAGAGGAAATGTTTGGAACTTCACATAAATTGACAAATGATGTGAGATAGGTCATATTAGAGCAAAAATTTATTTTTAGGAAGGGGGAGTCAAAATTCCAAAAATATCCCTCTTATGCATTAGATTTTTCTTTTGAGGGTGGACATGCCCACACTCACATTAGTGGGAATACGTCCTTGAAATTAATTGTATTGTACGTATGAGATATATATATATAATATGCATATACGTATGAGATATATATATAATATGCACAAACACAATAACAAGATTATAAATTAAAAAATATTTATTATAATAAGTAAATTTATTTATATGATTATCTTTACGAATAATTCTTCAAATTAATTTATTCTTAATAATAAAATTGAAAAATATTTTTAGTCTACATTCTAAAATAATTTGAATCTTAATGATAAAATAATATATATATTTTTAGGTGCATATAATGTAAGTAACTAAACATCAGGATAAGGGCGAATTAGAAGTTTAAGTGTACTTTGAATTTCTTTCCAAATTCACTTATTCAAATTTCCCATAATTATATGAATAAAGCAAAATGAATTTAGTGAGAAGACTGAGTATATGGAAGCAATACACCAATTAAAGTTTTGTGAATGGTGATATGAATATGCGATATATGTATATGTGATGTAACTTACAAGATCAATCAAAATAGATTTTTACAACATGTCAACAACACATAACTTATGTCACCTCAGTAAATTTTCACCAAAATTGCAAACACAAGAGACAAGTATAACCAAGAATCATCTATTTCAAAAAATTTATCAAAAAATATGCAGAAACATGCCATATTTTTATATTTCTTGTTGGGATTTTTTGGAGGAAGGAAAGCTTCTTGAATCCCTACAAGCTTGTTGGATAGCTTGGTCCAAGAGAAAGAATAGAGGGAGTGAGCTCACGTCTTTACTTATACTACTAATATAAGATAAAATGAACTTAAGAAACAAAATAACTAAACCTGGACCAAAAATACTAACAATCTCCACATTTGTTCAATTTAACAATGCTAAGAAAAAAACACTTGCTATCCACAAAGAATAGCCCAAAAAAGCGTCCACCAGAAGGTCATCTACTTTCTCCACTTGTTGTTCGCAAAGAACAACTAAAAAAAGCCTTCCCCACATGTTACATCTTTTTCCTCCACATATTTACTTGAACCGCATCTGCTGCAACGTCCTGACTCCAGCTCTGCTTCCGATCCTTTGAGCTAGTGTCTCATGCCTGGCTCGAACTCCAGCATGATCTTCTCCCTCTCGCTACCCTGGCTGGTCTCCCACACGCTTGGCACTAGCTCCCATGCCATCGCACATGCCTAACCATGCATGCCTTTGCTAATCTCACTAGTGCCTTGGTGTGCTTCTACCTGCGCAAACATGTCGTCCAAACCACCCTTGGCGATTTCAAAGAACATCCTAAGAAAAGGCTTCCACCCTCGGTCATCAGCTCTCCTCCACCTGTTGTCCACAAAAAACAACCAATTAAGGCTTCATCTATGCAAGATAAAAAATAAAAAAAAAATGCTCCTGACCAATCAATTTGAGGAGGAAGCACTTGACTATGGGTCCTAAGCACCCTCTACTATGTGAGTTGACAAATACCACAATGGGGCTTCCGGGCACACATCAATCCACTCGCTCCTGTGCCCACTCTCTGAATCCCATAGCCCAGTGCCTCGGTCTCTAGCCTAAAACTGATTATGCACTTTGAATCCCACAACCCAACCTCCTACCAGACCTAAAACCACTCATAGCTTGCCCACGCCCAATCCAACGTGAAAGCGCGCGTCCACACTCTTGCATACAATTGCCTCCCGTCTAGTCTATCCAATGTGCCTGCTTCAGAACTAGCACCCTCACCGGTGCTCCCATGTGCGCTCCCTATTAGTCCTGAGCCTAGAGCATGTGTGTCATATTCTTGATGGCAATCACGCACCCTTGATCCTATCCAGTGCACACGTTTGCCTCCTCCCTCGCCCCGTTTGAGTCCCGCAATCCGATCCAACGCCGTACATACATCATCTCGCACCCTACACGCATATTTCAACTAGCACATCCGTACAACGCCTGCCCTCGTTCATGTAACACGTGTGACTATTGCCATTTCTCACGCGATTTGCATGCTGTGTGAGCCTCTGGCCACACGCTTGCTCCAGTGCGTTACACCCGTGTGAAATCATCTCTAGCCTGGATGCCCAGTCCCAGCTCGCCTCTACTCCACCTCTTTCTTGATTACAAGAAAATTCCTCCTCCTTTCCCTTGATTAGCTCCACCAAACTCTGACTCTGCCACATAATGTGTTGGTTTTTCTTGGAGGAATGAAAGCTTCTTGAATCCCTACAAACTTCTTAGATAGCTTGGTCCAAGAGAAAGAATAGATGGAACGAGGGAGAATAGTGCTCGCCTCTATACTTATAATACTGAAACTAGATAAAACGAACCTACAAAACAAAATAATTAAAACTGGACCAAAAGGATGAAGCAAACATTCGTAAGAAAAAAAGAAGGATGACTTCAACTGTATGGGATCATTATGAGATGTTACCCATAGCTGTTGATGGTAAACAAAGATGTAAATGCAAGAAATGTGACACAATTTACTGATGTGATAACAAGAATGGAATTCGCAACTTAAAACGTCATATGCATGTTTGTAAGAAAAGAAATACCATTGATATAGGTCAGTTAATTTTGCACAAGCAGAGTTTGTCTGACTTCAAATCTTTTAACTTCCATTAGCACTGATGGTTTTATTTATTTGACCATTTATTTCATTGATAATAACTGGACACTCCATAAAAAGATTCTTAATTTTGGTTTCATGTCCACCCCCACATGATGGGATTTTCTTATTTGAGAAGCTGCAATATTTCTTAAATGAATGAAAAATTGAGAATAAACTTTTTAGTATCATTCTTAACAATGCTTCAACTAATACAATTTCCATAGATTTTTTACAAAATCATTTAGAGGTAGTTTGATATGCAATTGTGAATTTTTACATGTCCGATGTTGTGCACATATAGTAAACCTTATCATGCAGGAAGAGATGAAGGAGATAGATGTTTCTACATCTAAGATTAGGGAGAGCATCAAATATGTAAAAAGCTCCCAAGCTAGGAAACAGAAGTTTTTGGATTGTGCAAAACATAGTTGTTACAAGTAAAATTGATGTTACCTTAGAAAGTACTCCTAATCAGAGCTCAGCTACCAACTCCACTACAATAATAAAGTCACAATTCTTACAGGTAAAATTAATTGTAGATCTTCACTCTTGTATGTGTAAGTAGAAACTTTTTTATTTGAAATTATTAAATTAGCTATCCAAAAATAGGATTTTGATTCCTTTGAAGAAGAAATTACAATGCCCAGGAAATTTGAGCTTGAAGTTTACCTTCAAGAGTAGAAAATTGATTGAAAAGTAGAATTAGATATCTTGCATTTCTGAAAGGGCAATCAATACAAGTTTCCTAGTGTGGATGCAATGGCACATGATGTCTTAAAATAATAATAATAATAATAAGGCACATGATGTCTTGTGTATTCCTATTTCAATTGATGCCTATGAAAGTGCATTCAACAATAGTGATAGAGTTTTGATTCAATACATAAGCACCTTAAAACATGATATTGTGGAAGCACTTGTGTGTGCAAAAGACTTATTATATTGAGAACAGGGTATACAATAATTAAACTGGTATATTTTTCAATTTAATTTACTTATTCTGCTTGTTTGAAGTATTCATGTTGATATGTTCTTTTGTAGCTATTGATGATGCAAAATTAGGCAAAATTATAGAGAATATTATGGACTTAAACGTTAAAAAAAATTATATTGAAGATGTTGATAGTTAAGTTAACAGAAATAATTCAGTTGGCCTCTGAGAAGTGAAGTTGCTCCGGCTGTTTGAGTGTTGCCTTGCTGTTTGTGCGTATGGCCTTCGGGAAGTGAACTTGGCCTTTGAGAAATGGTTATGGACTTAGTTTCTTAGCCCATACTTTTATGGCTGCTAGCATAACTTATTCTATAGTTCATTATTTGCTATTTGTTACATCCTTCACAGTTATTTAACATCATCTATATTCGATTTAATTGCTAGTTGGTAGCCTAATTTTTAAGTGGTTGCTAAAATCAGTTGTTGTTGACATGTTGTTGTGGTTTTTGTACTTGCTAACTTGTTGACATGCTGTTGTTGCTGTTTTGATTGCTGAAAACTAAAAAGGAACAAGCCGAATAGGTAAGGGCATGAATTCTAATTTCTATTGTTGGGGTAAATCATTGTTGTTGTAATGTTATTGTTGACTTCTTGTTCTGATCGTTGTTGTTATTGTGGTTGTTGGAACCTGTTGTTGTTGTTGTTGTTGTGGTTGATGCCTGTTGGGTCGGGTAAATGCAAGTATGCAACCAATTGCTGTGGTTGCTAGAACCGATTCTTGACATCTCGTGGTTGCTGTTGTGTTTACTGGGTTCGGGTAAATGAAAGTATGCAAATACAACTAATTGTTTTGGTTTTGTTCTGGTTGTTGTTGTGGTTACTGGAACTGGTTCTTGTGATTGATGTTGTAGTTGTTGGGTTCGGGTAAATGAAAGTATGCAAATGCAACTAGTTGTTGTGGTTGCTGTTCTGGTTGTTATTGTTGTTGTCTTTATTTTGATGATTTTTTTGAAAGAGCAATGATAAGAAACCACTTAAGTAAAAGTAGAAAGTCTTTTTAGATAAATGCAACTAGGTTGCTTTATGTTCTCTTAGATCAAATTGATATATTATATGATTATAATTGAAGTATTGGACATATATTGCTATCTAAGATAATATAAAATGTCGCCATTGATGGTACTCTCTAAATGTTCTTTACTCATTTTCATTTTATTGAATTTAGTACCTGATGACTAATTTGGAGGCTTAACACGAGCTCTAATTTACATTACATTTACACTGTTTCAGCATTTGGATTTTGGGATTTGCCATTGTTTTTTAGGCTTACAAATATTTACCTGTTTATAATTTTTTTCTTATTTTTGCAGTCTTGCAGATGGATCTCATTTACAGCTCTAAGTTATCCAATATTGACATCAGTTAGAGACTTAGAGGGATGCAATTTAGATTAAATAGAATTTAATTTTATAAAACAATATAAATGTAATTTATAATTTTTATTTGTATGAGAATGTAAATCAGTAGATGTACTATATAAAATATATTATAAGTATTTTGTTAATATTCAAATAAATTAAATTATTCTTAGTATTTTGTTAATGTAATTGCTTATTTACTTATTTGTGTTCATTTTATGATTTATCATTTATATTTTATACTTTACAGATGCTCAAAGCCTCAAATAAATAAAATAATAAATAATTATTTTTGATTGAGTAAATAAATAATTGAGAAATGAGAACAAACAAATAATGAAATAAAAAAATAATTATGATGATGTATTTCAGTTTATTGCATTTTATATTTTAAATTACTTAAGATCTTAAATAAATCTAAAATAAAAAAATAGTAAAATTTGGGAGCAAATCGGATTAGTGAGTCAATTCGGATTGACGTGAATCCGAATCAGCTCGGATTCGGGTTCAAATTTCTCACCGGTTATTATATCCAGATCGGATCAACCAAGAGGGCGGGTAGTTGAGGTTGGACCCGAAACCGACCCCATAAAGCTGCCCTAAAGCTCCCACATCGCAAGTCGAAACCAGTTCGGGTCTATTTGAGCTTCTTAGATCACTTCCAGACATTTATCGCTCGTCGGAGATCGTCACAAGGCCCGCGGGAAGAAATGGAGGAGGGAATATTGGGGGCGATGCTGTGCATGATCCTCGTGTTTGCTGTATTTCCGCTGCTATGGTGGAGGCGCCGCCGGATGTCTTGTTCATCGCACGAGCACGAGGAAGAGCCACAGCAGCAGCGGGTACTCCTCCAAGCTTTCTTCCTCTCCAAGACTATTTTTTGCTATTAGGTTGATTCGTTTATATCGAAATGAATGACGGCAGCAGCTTGCTAACTATGGGTGTCTGTGGTGGAACGTTTATTCTTTGAGATTATAATGGAAAACCGCAGATTTAGACATGTTTATGCCATTATTCTGTTCCAGTATTGTTGATGAATTCCTTATGGCTGAAATCCATGTTTTCGATCGGCGGACAAGGGAACATGGGAAAGTAGTAGCAGTTTTTGTGTTTGAACAGGCTTGTAACTGAGTCCCAATCCCACACCTAACAGTGCGATCGGTTTGTAATTTGCAACGGGGGAGTATAAACAATGTGACCCATGAAATGGTTGCTTATTGATGCTTCCTTTTTGTTTTGTCCGTCCGAAACTGTAAAATCTTGAGGCAGGATTCGTAGCAAATTGTTAGCATCACAGGCTTAGTTTTGATAACTCAATAATCGTAAATTATAAATTAAAATAAAACGAGATATTTTTCAGTACAAAATGAGGGGATCTAGTTTTTCTGGAAACAATTGATAAGTGGGGGTCAGACTTAGGAGCTGTTTGGGTACAAGTAGGATTTATTAAATCTTGTAAATTTGTATTTAGTAAATCTTGGTTGGTTGAATCCATAAAATTATTTGGTATGATAGATGCTAAATATGGTTAAATTCTTGTAACTATTTGACATTGAAGAGGCATATGGGGAGAAGTGTAATTCTCTTAAATCCCACTTCTCCCAAGTTTTACTAAATTCAGGATCTAGCATAAAAGGGGAGGATGATGAGATTTAAAAAGGTAGTAGGATTTTTGTTGCTAAAAAAATCATTTGGTAAGATCTAGCCTAAACGCTGGCTAAATATTGACTAAATCTTGCAACCAAGCAACCTCCTAAAAAGGTATAGTTAGAAGGAATTGAAAATAAGAATTATTATCAAATGCAAGTCTTTATATGCCAAAGAAATGTCCCTTAGGTCAATTAGAATTCTAAGTATAAAGATGTGTGGAGAATGTGTTGAAGCTTCCACCAACAAAGTGAACATCCTATTAACAGAATTCAATTAACCAAACATGATATTTTAAAATGTTTGTCTTTTTCAACTTATTTTCCAAATCTTGTAATATGTATATTGCATTTTTTCTAGGAAAATAATTGATAATCTTGTATGAATGGATTGAAATGTGCAGCATATGTCTGATCTTGCTTGAAGATTGAAATGTGTAGCATATGTCTGATCTTACTTTTTCAACTTATGAATTGATTGTTGCTTGAAAATTGAAATGTGTAGTATATGTCTGATCTTGCTTCGAATTCGATTTCCTAAAAATAGATTCCATTTTTGAATTTCTCATTTTAGAATTTAGAGTTTATAAAAGAAAGATCGAGTATATGATATAAAATTTTAGTGGGTGTAATATAATCACTACTCAATATTATCAGAATATAAAATAACATCTAAGTGTGATAGGCTTAATATCTTTTAGATATTACAGAGAAGAATGGTGATGTTAATCCTATAATTTAGACTTAATGTTTAAACTAGAGAAGTGCCTCAGGAGTAATAGGTGCTGAGAGGACACCATTGAGATTTTAAGACATATTTTATAAACTTGAATTAGGTTTATGATGTTGATATATTAATGTGTTGGATAGTAAAAAGTCATTGATTATGGTTAAGCATGATTAAAATGAGAATGTTAGATGTGTTGTAAAACTAGATGTGGTATATAAAAAATAATCATATTAAGGGAATGGTTAGACTGACATCTATTGAAGGAGTTAATTGAAAATAGATTTAAGTGGTTTGAACATTGTTTGTTCTGTGTTGATACTGATTGTGTTGATCAATCAGGTTGTATTGTTGCCTCGAATCTCAAATCAATTTTTCATGCTTGCTGGAGGGGTGCAGGGGGGTCCCCCCTATAATACAATTTTTTTTCTCCCTTACAAACTCCCTGACGCTGTGTACTCGAGCGCCCCAACATTTTTTTTCTAAGTACCCTGGTGCTGCAAAGTTTGCTGGGAGAAACGATAGAGAGAGGAGTGCCGTGGAGCTTTAGATTATGTGCTGTAGCACTATATGGTGCTGCATCGCCTCGGGTTTGAGCACCGTAGCATTGTCAAACGGATCAGCATTAGAGGTTTGAGTGCTGCAGTGCTCCAAACTAGCGCCACAATTCTTCGAGGCGGATTGAACAATTTTCTTTCTCATTTTTTTCAAGGGTGACGTCCCTTGGTGTTACTAACTTGTATTTTCTTTTGTGTTTTGTGAGTGAGAACAATGAAAGAGAGGAGGGAAGCAAGGAGAGAGTGAGAGAGAAGAGAGATATGTATTTATTTTTCCCAATTTTCATAGTGGATTTCTTGGTGTGGTGTGGCTCCGTAAATTTTTCCATTTTCGGGGTTCTTATGTTAAATTTTGATGTCCTTTTTCGTTGCTTTTTTATTTTTCTTGTTTGTTTCGTTGCAGTGTTTTATGTCCATCCCCAATAGATATATACACCGAAGAATAGAAATGCACCATGACAATAGTGAAAAAAATAGTTTCAAAGGATTCGAAAGAGAAGGGGTACATTTAAGATAACATGGATATAAATTGTTTAAAATAATTTGCGAAGAATAGGTTTAATTCTCATTAGGTCTCAACATGAATATATGGAAAATAAAGATTGATAAAGCCGACCCCCTATGATGCATAGACAAGGACACGGCGACATGGATATGACATGACACGGACACGGGACACGTTAGTTATTGAAAATATAGGACACGAACACGGGTTGGACACGATATTATAGTTTTTATATTTAAAAAATATTGTATAAAAATTAAATAAGTATAATTTAAAAATAATAAGTCACTTAATTAGAATTTGTGCTTAAAATAATTAGTATTAGAATGTTGAGAGTCAGGCGTCGATGACGTTTATCAGTCACCGAGAGAGGAGATGAAAATACCTTCACTGCCAAAAAGAAATGAAAATGAGAATATTCGATGATTGGGTATTAAGTGCGGACGTTGATTTGGTGTTGTGGATAGGAAATAAGAAATTTAGTTTAAATCCCGCCAAATACAAGAAATTATATTTAAAAAATTCATAAAATATTTAAGATATGCGTGTCGGACACGCGTCCAATTTGTATTTAATATTTTTTAATCGGACATGTTTTCGGTGTGTCCGACACGTGTCGGAGGAGTGTCGGACGAGTGTCGTGTCGGACACGGTGTCGGACACTGCACGCCTCTTTGAGGAGAAGTGTCGGTGCATCATAGCCGACCCCAAATAGTGGGATAAGGCAAATGACGATGGCAATGATTTGAAACCCCCTTAACTTGCATGAATCACATTGTTTTTAATAAGATAACAATAAGTCTTTTCTAACTCTCATTGATACATCATCAAGCTTATTTTTGAAGCTTCTCAAGTCCTTGCAAAGTTTGAGTCTTAAACCTAAAGAATGGCATCCTATGATGCACCGACACGACACTTAAAGAGGGTATGCAGTGTCGGACACGGACACGCGTCGGACACGGTATGGACACGTGTTCGACACGGCATTGGAGTGTCGCAATTTAAAAAATTAAAATTAAAATCGGACACGCGTGTCCGGTTATTAAATGAGGTATCGCTAGGTACATGCTCGGTATCGCTTAGTACATGTTCGGCACCGCTCAGTACATGTTCGGTACCGCTCCGTACATGCTCGGTACTGCTCAATATATGCTCGGTACCACTCAATACATGCTCGGTACTGCTCAGTACATGCTCGGTATTGCTCAATATATGCTCGGTACCGCTTGGTACATGCTCGGTACCGCTAGGTACATGCTCATTTACTGCTAGGTATATGCTCGGTACCACTCGGTATCTTCCCATACAAACAACTTACGAACTTTAAAAACAAGCAAAACTTTAAAATTACTCTTACGATAAAATTTTGTTCCGGGGGCGCTGCCCCGGAAACCCCCGCAGGGGGCAGCGCCCCCTTGGATCCCGCAACCTGACCGAGCAGGTCGAACCCCGCCAGGGGGCAGCGCCCCCTTTGACCCCTGGCAGACTAGTATATTGTTGTATTCATTTTTTTTTTTTTTATTCATGTTGTCTTATTATTGTGATATTTTTATTTCACTTCATATCAATTTAATTTGATGTATTCATATGTTGCTGCATCTTCAAATAATTATTGGTGCATCCATTTTTAAAAGCAAATGATAAAGAAAATGGGTAATTAATAATTGTCGCTATAAGTATCAGAGTTCAAGCAATATTTATTTTTGAATCAGCACAGGAAGATAGTGCTACATCAGCACCTATTTATTTTTATGAATTTACCCTCTTTTCCGCTAATTCCATTTTCTTAAAAGCCATGCTAAGCGCTTCTCTCGCTTTGTCTCTAATTTTGTTTTCTATCTCATGATTCCTTTGTAATATTTTTATTTTTTACATTTTTTGTTTTTTCTATTGATTTTTCCTGTTTAGTTTTCGTCAGCATGCCTTCTTTATAATGTACATTAGACTTGCTGCTCTTAATTCTATACCTGTCTTTTTTTTGGTTTTTTAGATCAGGAAGATTTTTGACTGATTGCGCATAATATGCTTTAAGAGAGTTATCTTGCTCATATTACTGTAACTAACCTTCAGGCAGTTGTTATTTGCAGGTGGAGAGAGTGGTTCAACACTCTGGAACTCGTCGCATGCGCAGGAGGCCAACTGCTGTTAATTCTTTTGTTCCCTCAACAAGTGGTCAAGGTTCACTTTACATCATCCTCTGCATCTTTTTTTAGTTTTCGTGTGTGAACTGAAAGGTGATAATTTGTCTATGCTAATGACATCGCTTTCTCGTATTTTGATGAATTATTTAAATCTTTTCTCATATCTCATGATATAATAAGCAAAATGCTATATTGTCATATAAAAAAAACTCTCAGTATTTCAGTTGTGTAGCCTCATCATCATTATCATTATTCTTAACTCGGTATTATCTATCCTAATTTTTTATTGTTTCTTATTGATTGTTGTTTAAGGTGTTTAAAACTTATTATTCACGAGTGATTTTGAATAGGGTTGCAAATGAACCGAGCGTTCGACGAGCTACTCATGGCTCGGCTCGATAAGAGCTCATTTATGTTCGTTTGATAAGGTAACCGAACAAGCTTGGACAAGTTTGACAATACTCGATAGTTAAATAAACAAACTTGAACAACCTAGCTTTCGGCTTGTTTATGTTCACGAACAACATCGTTTAGAGCTCGTGAATATGCTCGTTAAGAAGCTCGATTATGCCCTATATAATAAAAAATAAATATTATATGTTATTTGAGTAATAAGATAATTAAGTTTAACGTTATTTAACTTATTTTAAATTACTGTTTAAAAGATATTTAACATTATTTAACTATTATAAGTTATAAACTAACATTATTTAACTTATAAGATATTTATATATATTTTAAATTACACGATATTTAAATTAATAAACTACTATTTTTTTTAAATTTTTAACTCCAACCTCTCTCCCTCTCCTAGTTTTGCATTTTTAACTCCCGCCCACCTGCCTCTCTTTCCTTCGTGGCCACATGAAAACTAAAAAAGAAAAAAAAGGTGGTTTAGTCCCACACTGCGAAATAAAAGAAGCTTTTGCACTATATATTGAGCTATAGTCCAATGTCGTTGACGTGAGGCGAGCTGGGCTCGGTAGGCGGGGTGGGCTTGGTTTGATTTAAAAAGAATAAAAAATAAAATTTAGGTTTGCATGGTTTGGTTCAGTTTGATTAACGAATGGCTCAATTAGAGGCTTTTTAAGCTTCTAGTTAAATGAGCCCAAACTCGTTCACGAGCTGAACTTGAACAGCTCATTTTTAAACGAGCTCGAGTTCGAAGAGCTGTTGGAGAAGTTCGGCAAGCTTTGAACCAAGCTTGAACACGTTTTTGACAAATGAGCTCGAACTCGAACATGCCTAAGCTTGGCTCGGTTTGGTTCGTTTGGAGCCCTAATTTTGAACATTTTCTATCAATGCAATCTTAGATCTATTCTCTTTCCTTCATAATCCTCTAATATTAATTTTATCAAGTAGTATAATACACTTTGTTGCGCATATTCAAACCAACTAAATTTGACTTCAGATGGTAGACACGTTATCCTGGATGCTGCTCTAGCATTTTCTCTAATATAATCATGCTTCAGTTTATCTTTTTTAGTTTTGCTGCATATATATATCTTAACATTCTCATTTTTGTCATGCACAACTTAAATATAAATCACTTTCTTACCATTTAATATTTAGACTCACACATCATTGCAACATAATTGTAGTTTTATAAATTTTTTCTTTAAATCTACATAATATCCTCTTATCACACAAAAATTCCAAAATATTTTTCGATTCTAACCATCCAACCTTAATTCCAATAGTTATATCCTTACATATATTTTTATTTTTCTGTCTAATAGATCTAAGATATTTTAACTTATCACACTTATGTTTCACTTTATTTTCTAATAATATTAGGTGATTGTTGTTAATGTGATGCCATTAAAAAACATTTATTGAGAGGTTTGATGGAGAAATATAGAGAGAAAAATGAAGATCTTCATATGATATTTATTGATTTAGTGATGCGGACATCGGCACGAAGATCTGGCGCATCTATCACATTCGTTATTTTTTCATTTTCTCCTTGTCGACATCACCATCTCCTCCTTCCACCGCCACCGGTCCCTTCCTCCTTCCCATTGAACCGCCAGTTTTAACAACCCCTCCATCACCCCAACCGAGAACCCCCACCTTTGCTCCAATTATTAATTGCCTTTCCTAAATTGGAGGGATTAAGTTAACGAAGGATTTGAATTCAAAATTCAAATTTGAATTCAAATTTATTTATTGCTTAATTCATTCTTAATAATTAGGCATTTAATGATGTCATTAATTCTGAAATAAAATCTCAGAATTTTGAATTCAAAAATCCAGCCGGCCTCCCTTAATTCTTCCCTTGTAATCAATTAGTTTCCAATTAGGGAAGAGCTCTTCATTAATGCAAATTTGAATTCCAAAATTTGAATTCGAATTAGCATTATTCACACCATTAATCTCTCTCCCCTCTCTCCCTAAACCCGCCGACCCCCTCTTTGGGCTCCCTCCTTTACTCCCCCATTCATGACATTAATTTCTTTGATTTGAATTTTAAAATTCAAATCAATTCCCTCCTAATTTAATCAAAATTAAAATTAAAATTCAGATTGTGATTAAATTCTTAATTGATTCCATAATCTAAGGAGGTTTAATTTCAGGAATTAAATTCCCTTTAGCCGAATCTCCCAAATTCCCCAATGCCTGTAGTTATTTCTTAAATCAAATCATTGATTTAGGAAATCAATTCCCCATATCTCTCTCCAATTCACGAAATCCTCCTGGCTCTCCATAAGTGCAGATTTACCCTTTAAAAAGATTTCCAAAAGCTGAATCTGCTGGCCGAATTTTTCAAGACCATCACGTGGGAATTCCTCCACTAGAAGCTCTCCAAATTCATAGAATATCAAGCCCTCTTCCTACCAAAGCTGTAGCGAATTTCTGAAAGAAATCTGAATATGTTTCAGATTTTCTAGAAGGAATTATTTCAGGTTTTTCGGGAGGGCGCTTGGAGTTTGTTCTTGCCACTACTTCCCTACCCGTTCTACATCATTTAGAGAAAGCAAATGATAATTCCTAGAGAAGTGCTATGGAGAGTTCTAAAAAAGAAAGGGACTAATAATACTTAAATTCAAGTCATTAGGGAAATGTATGCTAGAGCTATTACTTCTGTTCAAACACAAGGTGGTTTAACCAAGTATTTTTCAATTTCAGTTGGATTGCATCAAGGACCAGACTTAAGCCCATAACTTTTTAACTTTAGTCATGGATGTTCTTCCTAGAGATTTGCTAGAGGATGTTCCCTGGTGTATGCTTTTTGCTGACAATATTCTTCTTGTTAATAAGACTAAAGAGGGAGTTGAAGGCAAACTTAAATTATAGAGGTCAACCTTAGAGTCTAAAGGTTTTCGTTTGAGTAGATATAAAACCGAATACATTGAGAGCACTCTAATTTCTTTGAAGTAACGGTGCTGGAGGTGCGACTAGGCCAATTAAGGCTAGGAACGCATCGCAGGCATAAGGGACGAGGTAGGCGGTGCACACTGTGAGGTGGATCGACCGACCGACCCAACCTAAGGTCCAACTACGGGCTTTTTAATTGCAACAATTTATCTTCATTCTACTCTATCTTCTAAGTTTTTCTTCCATTATTCTGGTTTTCATTGATTTCAGTAGATGTCTCACTAATTAGAATTATATCATTTGCAAAAAACATACACTAATGCATATTGCTTTAAATGTCCTTTGTAAACATCTTCATAACTAATATAGAAAATATATATACTAAATATTGATCCTTAATGTAAGCATAAGGCCATTGAACTTTTGAGTCACTCAACAGCTTTTTCTAATAGTCAATATTTTATCATACAGATCTTTATTAATAAAAAAATATATTTAATATGTAACTTTCTGTCTTCTTCACAACAAATCAATTCTTGTGCATTCTCGATGTCAGAATCCTATGAACTTCCTTTATTTGTGATATATACTTCTTTATTGATTATTTTAACATAAAAATGGCTTTCATAGTTAATCTTCTCTGCATTAAAACAAATTGGTTAATTGAAATTGATGTAATTTTTCTATGCGTATATTACATTACTTAAATCCCATTTTTTTTTCCACAGATAAAACATTATAGTCTTACATTACTTAAATCCCATTGTTTCATTATATGACTCATAAATTTAATTTCCTTATAGCACAATCTTGAACATTGCTTTTTTTCTTAAATATTGGTACTAAAATTCATCTTCTCCAATAATTTAGCATACTCATATTCTTCAAAATTCTATTAAAAAGATTTATTAATCAAATCACCACAATAGCTCTTAGAATTCTCCAAATCTAAATAGCTATCTCATCTTGACTTAAAGTCTTATATTTATGCATCTGTTTTTGAGCTAACTCTAACTTGCATTTTTTGATCAATTTATATATTATTATATTTAACTATGTTGCCAATATTCTCTTCCAAAATAATTTCTTAAATTTAAATAAAAGAAAATATGAACACAAAGGAAATGTTGTCATGCCTTTGTCTCAAAGAACCATTCAAGTTTTCTTATCAGAATTTAATGTGCTTTGCTTTATTGGTTAATGTTGTACACGACAACGATTATGAGGATTTAAGCCCCCTTAGCAGAGCATTACCTTTCATACTAGATCTATTTTTATAAGTTTTAGAAGGTGTGCTTGCAATTCGATATTGAATTGATTTTCTATAGAAAGAATTAATAATTTAATTATTGCAGTTGCTAGAGTTAAAATCATCCCAACACATCCAATTTAGAAATTACTTTCTTAATGTTAATATCAAAAAATAATTCCTAAATACTAAAATTATCGATTAGAGGGATCCCTCATTCATAGGGACTTTATTTTTCAATTTCATATTTCCTTTTTTTTGTATATATTTTTTTTTCTATTTCTATGTACAATTTATATAAAATCACATGTTACTTGTAATTAGAATTAAGTGAGATCAAAACAATTTTTTTAGATTTTCTCATATGGCATTAAGGCATTAGGATTTTTTATGTCTTACTCCTTGATCTTCATCATCATTACCTATTGGGTCTCAGTTAATCGACTAATGCATTTTTTTTTTTAATTTCTGTCCGGTCATGTTGTGAATATTTGTCTATCAATTTTGGCTTGTCGGTTTTTGCTTGTCGACCTCTCCTCTATATCAACCTCAACGCGTTGACCTTTGCTCGTCTATATTTACTCATCTTTGAGCTCTACTCATTGATCTATGCTTGCCATCTCTCTCATCATCAATATTTTGCATTTGTTGGCATGGTTCATCTTTTTTGCATATTCTCTTCTTCAGTTTCCGAGCAGTTACGGCTCATGATTCCCCAGCAGGAGTTGTATCTATCTTGTTGTCATGATCTCATGTTTAAGAGATAAATATGTCAAAATGGTCCAAAGACTATTTATGTGGAGCCATTTTAGTCCTAGACTATTCAATGTGTCTAATTTAGTCTATTGACTGTTCAAATATGTTTCAAGATACCCCACCAGAGGGATTTTTTTTTTCGATTATACTTGAAGAGTCAATGGATTATTTTGAAAAAAATTATATTCTAAGATTAAAAAATAACCCCTATAAAATGGTACATGGTGTCTCCTCTAAAAACCTTTGAACAAATAAGGCCTTATTTATCATCTAGATATACTTAAAATATTAGGTTTTATGTAGACTAAATGGAAGAGAACTACTTAATGTGATCTTATTTATTTCAAGTTTTTCTTAAAGGGAAAGGGAAACTAAATCACCTGCTAGGTGTTGATTTAAAGCTAGGAGATCTAGGATTTGATGCTTATGGTGAGAATTTAGTCTATTGACTGTTCAAATATGTTTCAAGATACCCCACCAGAGGGATTTTTTTTTTCGATTATACTTGAAGAGTCAATGGATTATTTTGAAAAAAATTATATTCTAAGATTAAAAAATAACCCTATAAAATGGTACATGGTCTCCTCTAAAAACCTTTGAACAAATAAGGCCTTATTTATCATCTAGATATACTTAAAATATTAGGTTTTATGTAGACTAAATGGAAGAGAACTACTTAATGTGATCTTATTTATTTCAAGTTTTTCTTAAAGGGAAAGGGAAACTAAATCACCTGCTAGGTGTTGATTTAAAGCTAGGAGATCTAGGATTTGATGCTTATGGTGAGAATGATTCCATGATAAGATAATGACTGGAATTCAATGACTCTAGAAATCAATTGTACATGATATTTGGGATTCTATGCGGCAAACATACTCGAAAGCTAATAATACATCTCAAATATATGAGATTGAAGTAAACGTTTCCACTAAAAAAATAAGATAATCTATCACATAGTATGCCAAACTCTTGAAGAGTATGTGGCAAGAACTGGACCATTAGCGGGCCATCAAATAGTGTGATGACTTTCTTGCAGGCTTTAATGTACAACATGGTCTAGTTTGAATTTAGATTTTGGGAAAAGATGAGGTGCTATCTTTAGATGAGACTATCTATATCAGTCGAGCATAGGATAGCAGGTATTAGAATTAAAGCAGTTCAGCAAAGTTCATTATGGGAATGAGTCCTTATGGCAGTAATTCCAATTAATTTTTGGATCTTGAAATTATTGATTAGAGAATCACTCATTGACTTTATTTTTTTGATTTAATGTTTCCTTTCACCATATACAACTCATATAAAATGCTGTTGCTTGTAATTATAATCAACTAAAATCAATACTATCTTAGATTTTATCACATAAAAGTACCAGCTTATAGCCAGATGCATGAATTTAGGTTTTGTTTGGGACGGCTTTCTCACTGCTTCTTAAAACAACTTTCTAGTACAAAAGTTTTAATTTTTGTACTTGAAAGTTGCTTTAAGAAGCAGGAAGAAAGCCGTCTCAAATGAAGCCTTAGCCAAAGGCCCATTTTACTGACATTTTAAATCAATTTGGTTGGGTGGGAAGAATTTAGGTTGAAGTGGTATAAACTCCACTTAATTTGCTTGCAGTATTCATGATGAAACTTATTATTTTTCATAGATACTTGATCTATATTTTAATATTAGAGTTAATGTTATTAGCAGAGCCTCTCTCTGAAAGTGATGAGGAGGAGGTTCCTGAGGATGACAATCATGTTGCTAAAGCTTCTACGAGAAAAGAGAAGAAAAGACAAGAGCGTGAAGCACAAAGACAGGTAATCACCTTTAAAATTTTCCTTTCTGGTGGTTAATTTTTTTTCATAAATAAGAATTTTGTAACATCACATCTCTTTGTAAGGCTGAGGATGCTGCACGTGAATCTAGAAAAATAAAGCAAGACCGCTATGAAGAGCTGCGGAGAAGGAAGGATGAGGATCGTGAAGCAAAAGAGCGTGCTATGGTTGGTTCCTGCATTACTTGCATGCATTAATCAGACCACGAAACTCTAGCCTAGTTAATTTCGTATACTTATACATTTTGTAAGCTGATTTAGGAAGAAGAAGCTCTAGCTCGGAGAGCCAAGGAGGAGGAAACTGCTGCTTTGGAATTTGACAAATGGAAAGGGGAATTTTCTGTTGATGCAGAAGGTACCACAGCAAGTGAAAATCAAGAGGAAACTCAGGGTTTACTCAACAACTTTGTCGAATACATCCAGGTGGTCTGACTTTCCTAATTCCTAGTTTTTCCTATTGAACCCTCTTATACGTTTTTTCGTTTCTCTGATAATATTAGTTAGAAAACATGAAATGTTCGCATCAAGCTTTTGTAGACTCTATTTTCTTTAATATTCACATTTCTTTCATATTTTTTTCCGTCTTTTTGTTAGTGCTTAATTTTCTAATGCTAAACATGCATAGTATAATCTTTCATACTCTCTCTTTGTCATGGCGGATGCATGGTGGAGGCACACACTAAAGGCTTGTACTTCCACTGGCTTGACCTGATAGATCTACCCGCCAGCGCTGAATCACATTTTATTAGTCTCAGGAGGCTTCATTGTCATTAAAAATTGAATATTATGCTGTCTTCTTTGAGAATAGCAGCTGGGAAACAAGAAGGATTTCTCCTCTCTTCTTGTAGCTTTAAAAATATTTAATTAGAGAGCTTATGCGGATATATCCAAAAGGAAAATAAAGATTCATTTGGAATGGCTTATACTGTTAAAAATTATTTTATCAACCAAAATTTCAAACATGCTTTCTTAAAGCAACTTTTTTGAGGAAAATTTGTGGAAAAGTTGTCATCCAAATGGACATACACTTTTTATTAGCTTCTTTTCCTACAGCAAAAAAAGTTAAAAAGCTAACCCAAACGAAGGCTAAAATAACTTGCATATCATAAACATGTTTTATATGAACAGTACAGTATATCTCTAGGTAAATCTAGGAAAATAGTGAATAGAGAATATGCAATATTGATGGAGAAAGTGCAATAAACATCTAGATCCACACCCTCTTGGCCTTGTATTGTATTCTCCGAAGGTTTTGTGAACAACAAACTCACAAAGACACAAAGCAAATACTTGTTTTATTACTTTAAATGTTTTATTTCATTAACCACTAATTAGTAAAACTTTTGTACAACCAATATAAATTCATTTCTTTTAAAATACATTGCTCTCAAATACAAAGAAAACTCCCCGAGTGACTATTACATGAGTAATAATAATATAATATTTATATTCTACAGTGATCTATAAAATGTGTAGAAACCCAATAGGATGCCCATGTGTGCAAATGTGTATATGTGCTTAGTAGGTAGGTTGCAAGAGTGCAAACTGCACGGTCTACCTAATCCACAAGGATTAAACTTAGCTTTGTTAATTTAGGAAAATTAGATGGCAAGAACCCTCGGCATTCAATTCATTTGGCTTGGGATTGGTTTTGAGGAAATGTGAGGAGAATTTGAGAGTGAATGTCCCAATATCTTTTGCCATTTCAAACTGACATCCCTTTTGATGTTAGTTAAATATGATTATTATGGTTTAGGAAATTGAAAATCTAGTGAGATTTTTAGGAATTTGAATGCTAGAGAGAATCATGTTAAATTGGGTGTGAGTGTGAGTTGATCAATCCAATATAAAGTGATTCTCCAAGAAAGGAAATAAGCTTTGGTAATAAGCAACCAAAACATACCACTACATTTATTACAATAGATTTTAATGTTTCCTTTTGAGCCAACATCATGCAACCTATGAAGAAGGTAGACAAAGACTACCACATAGAGGTGGAGCTCATTGTTTAGATGAGCTCAAAGGGTAGCGCCCAAATGGTGCTAGGGAAATCAGTTACTGTCTATCCAAACCAAATGTGATCTAGCTTGTTGGACCAAAGAGGTATCTCTTGGCTTTTAGTACAATAGTGAAGTTGACAAGGTTTATCACTAAAAAATCTAAGGTTGTTGTCAGGAAGCTAACGGGTGGAGTCAAAGTCAGTATATCCACGAGTAGTGAGTTTGGGTTCGATGAGCTGTGGCAATGCTAAGCGATGATTTGTCTGGAGGAGCCAATGGACCAGTCTAGGTTGAAAAGGTCTTCTTGTGATGAGACTGTGTATGCCTTCTTGCAAAAGATGATAAATCATTGCGGTGTGGGACAATAAGATGTCTCTTGACACTGGATAATTCACAATCTTGCTAGAAACAGAAGATTCTCACCAATTCTATGGTAGCAGGCATGATGACAGAGCGATGGATGTGAGGTAACAATAAGGATGCATGGTTCTTGTTAGATGAGATCTCGAAGTCTCATAAATGAACATTGAGGTCTATCTCCAAACTTGCAAGAACATAATGTTTTCCTAAGAGATGTTTTACTCTTCCACACTCCCTTGGGAGGGCAAGGTTGGGAGAATGAGCATGAGATAAAAAGTGGGGAGAGAGAAAACGTGTCTTTTTTATGACTGTTGGATCTGAACGCATAAGGGCTGGCCTTATGTAGAATTGAGAAGCTATAGTGGACTCCAACTTGGCTCAACGATGATCCTCATTTGGATGTGCATGTGGATCGATGATGAAAACTCGGGGTGCAGACTGTAGATATTAACAAGCTTGTAGGAGTGCATGATGAAGAGGATGATGAACATCGACAAATTGATGTAGGCGGCTAAAAATAACAATGACATCAATCTCACAAAATGGAGCTGATGTGGAGAGAAGATGTGTAAAGAAAGAAAGAGAGGTGGAGATGTAAAGATAGGGACAAGCCGGGGAGGGGCGGAGGGCTTGGTGGTAGTCTATGCTAGGCTTGAGACGATGGCTCGGGAGAGAACACAACAGATATACTGATATAGCATGAGAGAAAGGGGACAGACCCTTTCAAGAGATTGGGAGTAAGAGGAAGTATGGGATAGGGTCATGATGCGAGGGTGGCATGAGCTGATGGGATAGTACAGGTAATGAATTACTATTATTATTATTATTATTTGGTTGTAGTCTATGCTAGGCTTGAGTCGATGGCTCGGGAGAGAACACAACAGATATACTGATATAGCATGAGAGAAAGGGGACAGACCCTTTCAAGAGATTGGGAGTAAGAGGAAGTATGGGATAGGGTCATGATGCGAGGGTGGCATGAGCTGATGGGATAGTACAGGTAATGAATTACTATTATTATTATTATTATTATTATTATTTTTGTTCTATAGTTGCTATATTATATTTACTTTTAAACTTTTTCTCATATATATATATATATATATATA